CTCATTGGGGAAAAGTGAGAACAATCTGTGCCAGTGGTAGTCGAGTAAAATTAGAGTTCAACCTAGAACAAATTCGGGACAAGCAAGCGATGCCCGAAATTAGTAGTACCAATAATGCTCTTTAACATACTAAAAGTCCCCATATCTCCGAGGTGCGGAACATCCTGAAAATTGAGCCGCCATCTTGGATTTTCATGTTTTTTGCTAATAACTTTGTTATTATTATTTTTATCGGAAAAAGTTTGGAAAAGGAATTTGTGAAGCTTTAAAATACGAATCCAATGCTTCTTCATTTCTCGAAATCGATTGAAAACTAAGGGAGTTATGATTTTTTTATTGTATCAATAATCGCACTATACAGCATTCGCTGTGTATACTATACGACAGTGCAACACTCCCCCCTCCGCCAGACATGAGCAGAGAAATGTGTGATATACCCCCCCCCCCACCCTTATTCTACAGATTTTTCAGAATAGCAAAACAAACATTAATATACTCGTATTATGACATACCTACTAGAAAACCGCTTGAAAAAAAGAGAGACAAAATCTGTATAAATCATAAATGGTACGTCCTTAGACTGGGGCCCTTAAGGCGCGGGGCCTGGGGCTGTAGCCCCCAAAGCCCTCCCCCTTAATCCTGGGCTGTGTTTACAGCTACGTTAGAATTCGGTGAAAATCTCGGCATCACTTATTGTTTGCAAGTTGCATCAATTTCATTAATTATAGAGGGAGCGACAGACATCCTAGGTCTGTCGCTACATCCGCTGGCATACGAATAAACCACGAAGCTTGACACATCATCCGATTCAAATTCATATAAAATATGTATCCCAGACCACGAGATCTGCAGCTTTTTAATCAGTTCGACTCAAGTTCTGCTTGTCGCTTTCTTGGACCACTTTATTGATGATGATTGTAAAAGTAACATTCGGTAGTTATTTGAAAATATTGCCCCAGGAGGGGGCGGTAAACTAAAATTTGGACTGAAAATTGTTGAATCGATAAAGAATAATTTTCTTTGTCTATAAAGTTCCAATGAATTTCGCCTATCGGATAAATCCAATTATTCGCGTAGTTATTCGTGTATAGTGCGATTATTGATACAATAAAAAAATCATAACTCCATTAGTTTCCAATCGATTTCGAGAAATAAAGAAGCATTGGATTCGTATTTTAAAGCTTCACAAATTCCCTTTCCTAACTTTTCCGAAAAAATAATAATAACAAAGTTATTAGCAAAAAACATGGAAATCCAAGATGGCGGCTCAGTTTTCAGGATGTTCCGCACCTCGGAGACATGGGGACTTTTAATATGTTGAAGAGCATTATTGGTACTACTAATTACGGACATCGGTTGCTTGTCCCGAATTTATTCTAGGTTTGAGCAAATATTACTCTAATTTTACTCGACTATGGGCTAAAAACTTCAAATACAAAAATAATTTCAGTTAGCTCCGTCGATGATGATAGTGTATCTGCAAGTTACAAAGCTCGTTGTGTAGCTATATTTGTATCTTACGTTAATTTTAATTAAACTACGAGAAATCAAATAATTACGAGCAAAGAATGTTTGTCAGGGTTATTCCCGACCTTATAAACGTGACGTAGCGTTACAAAAAGTTAATAGCGGCCCCTCTTACAAGAGCTTTCTTTTTTATTGCATGGACCTTATTCTAAAGTTCTTAAAAATTGAAAACTACATGGCGTTCTGGGAAAAGGTCAATTTTCTTCGATGACAGCCTAGTTGTAAGCAAAGAGTATATAACGTTAGATTGGTGTAAGGTGTCGTTACAAAAGATCATTTAGAATTATTCATTTGCGGAAAAAAATTGTTTATTTTATAGCAGATGGGAAATTTTAATAGGTTTGGATTTAAAGCATATACGTATTTATATTAACATTTTGGAAATGGTCAAAAACTAATTACAGCGTTCGTTCTACGGGAAAAGGTCACATCATGGAGGAGTACCTACTGAACCGATAACAACCGATTTTTTGTTTAATAGTTTAAAAAAAATGTGTAAAGGAAATTGGAGCGAAAAATTACTAATCCCTTTAGTATAATTGCGATGTGGAAGTACTGATTCTATCATGTTTTTAGAGTGTTTTTAGTAATATGAAAGGGCGTTAAGCACTTTCCTAGAGTCCACAGACGGCGATAGTCAAATTAGAGAAAAGATAATTAAAGAGTTATCACCATTCTTAAAAAAAAACCAATCCGATTACTTCCGAAGACATGATAGAAAAATAGAGATTTGACAATTTTGTTTCTAATTTTGTATGATGTTATTTGAATAATAGATATACAAAAATTAAAAACACTTTCGCAATGCCACTTTCTAAGCTTTCCAAGACACAGTTGCGAGATCTTCAATACAACTTTTGGTTTCGGAGAAATCACAATCAACTTTATTTTTATATTTTGACTTAATCCTTATGAAGTATGAATGGAGACGAACACAACCCGTTAGCTCGTCTATAAAATAGCTTTTTTTAAAATTAAAATTAAAATAAGCAATTTTTTTAATTTTATTATGCGCAAACCAAATATGTATATAAGATGTAACATATTATACCGCCATGATTATAAAATTCTGAATATCGGGGCATGTATGGTAATGATGTCGTACATACATGGAATCGCAACTTGTATGAAACCATCAACATCGCTAACGGGTTTCTTTCATTGCCTTGTTTTTTTGATCTTTTTAGAGGTTTGACCAATTTAGAAACGTGTGAAATAGAAGTCACTGTTCGCAGGCTATAATATTTAATGCATCTGCAACTCTCTTTCTCGTTCATTCAAAATAACGAATAAGTTTAGAAATAAGTTGCTTCTCTTGCTATCCTTGGACATTTCCAACTGCTACACTCGCAAACAAAACTAGTAACATTAATTTACTCTGTTCTGAGATGTACCTACTCCTAGAGGCGTAGATAGAAAAAAAACACCAGAACATACCCTAGTACCTATATTATCTGTAAAAAATTTAAATTGTATAGCTAACGAATATTTATGGAATAATGAATTACAACTCCACTGTAACGCGTAGGTGTATAGTAAGGATGGAAAGTTACAATGCACAAAAAAACAGATTTATCTTCGCTCTATTAGTAACGTCAATCATAATTCAAATTCAAACACCTTTCTCACCGTCGCCAAACCCTAAAATCTCCTATAAAATATCGAATTGCATTTTTCTTAACTTGATCCTGAGAATCTTTTATACAAATACATTATACAAAATGCGATCACCGTCACTGCAAAGAAAAATAAATGATGGAAAATATATAAGAATAGGAAGATTGGATAAATGTCAAATGATATGAGAAATTTGTCTATTACGTCCAAATCCAGTAAACACGCGCAAATAAAACGTTTATTGTTGACACAAATGAGACTTTTACTTGCAACCTCTTTCGTCGACATTCGTTACATAGGGTACGTTATTTGAGATTAATAAATACTTATATGGATTTCTAGTGCAGTTGTGATGAAGAATAGTTGCGTGACTTCCGTTTGTACGTCCGTCTGAACGTTTGATTTGTGAAACCTCACACAAGGTTGCGTACTTTGTTATTCCACAGTTTAGATAGGATTAACAGCATTCCTTTTTTGGGTATGATCTTTCCGATTTTAAACAATTTTTGCATCTCCAACTTCCAAGGCACCAGAAATTCGAAGAGGCGGTAAGTTAGTGGTATGGGCACTAACTTACAAACACGAAGGTGCCGTTTTCATCCTCAAGGTTGTCACAGCCTCGTTAAAAATGAGTAGGTACCTGGGGTTTACTTTGGGGTTAATAATGGGCGGCATGAAAGCTCTTCTCAAGCTCAGGAAGGGAACAGGTTCATACATGCATGCATGCGTGAACGTAATAACTCCGTCCTTTGGATTCCCAATTTCCGTTAAAAAGAAATATTTAAGAAATGTAACCCTTAGCAGGGATTGAAACCGGAACCGAAAAGAACCGGAACCGATTGCATTTATAGGCCTCTCACTTGGAACCGGAACCGTTATTTAAGAAGTTCTGATAACCGGAACCGATATACCGGTATCGTTATTGTTAGTGCCAAGGGACCGGTATTTTTCGGTTCTCTGTCTTGTAGGTAGACGTAGACGAGACACGTTGGGCTTTGTGAAAGGAAAATGCGTTTTATATTGTTGCTCTACACGTCATATCCGCTTCCGGTGACTGCTTTTTGATCGACTTGATGAATAATAATAAAATTTTGACTTCGGAAGTAGGTACGTTCAGAGTTGTAGAATTTGCAAGTAATTTCAAAAGCGAAAAATCCAAATTCTTACTTTTATTTTAGAGCTACCCACAAATTTCTACCAATGTATCCGTAATACTAAACAAATATGAAATATTTTAGTGACTAATACAATTAAATCTAAAAAATATGTTTATGCAAAAGAAAAATGTATTTTGTGTATTATTTTCTATAATTAATAAATTTTTTAGTAATAATTTTATTTATTTATGTTCGAACCTAAAAAACTGGAAGGTAAATTAATTGTATATAAATGTGTAAATATTATGAATAAATAAGTATTTAGCGAATGCTTTCACTCATTTGGGGTGTAAGGATTTCAATCTACAATTTTGGTAAACGTGACGGTTTACCACCTTACATTCTACCCCAAGTTTTTGATTCGGTAATGGCCGTATGCACCAACAAATTTAAGCAGAGCTTAGCTTAAAATCCATGGCAACCATTATCGCAATAATCGTTGCCATGAATTATAAGCTACGCTTAAGCTAAGCCTCGACTAAATTTGTCGGTGCATGCAGACCATAATAAAGTTAAAAAGGAAAAGAGAATTTTGTGAATAAAAATTTTAATTTTTCTGTAGAACAGCTATAAGATGGTTATCAATTAGTATGCTCTAGGTATAGACAATTCAATACCAACTATATACACAACATGCTATTCAAGCATGGAAAAGTAAATGATTCAAATTCTGTTGGCAAATTTGAACAGACACACAGATTATATGTAAATAAAAAGAATTTATTAAAAAAAAGTATAATAAATAATGAAAGTTAACAAGTAACTATAAAGTGTTATAGTAGATTAGATTGGCATGCTGCCATGTAAAGAGCCTAATCGAAATTTTAGAGGAACATATGATTGTTCATTTTTTTGCTTTCTTCTTACGCCTTTCTGCAACAATGGATTTGTTGGCAGAATCTGGTTGTCATCCATTAAACTCTAACCGAGCCACAATACCTCTAACCATTTGCAAAAATTGAGCATCCTGACTGCTATTCTCTAACAAAATTGTATGCAAACTACCCATGTATGTGTCAATCGTCTGCAATGTCGGAACTTCGTCGGTCCCTATAACATTAAATCAACAATCTTCAATTACAAACAATAAACGTGGAAAACCTGGTAATTTGATGTTGGCAAATCCAGATGTGAGGGTAGATCTCAGATGATCCAAATGTTGCTGTAGGGATTTATTGTTTTTTCTTTGCTGTAAAATTTCCACTTCCAGTTTTTCTATCGCCCCTTTAACATCTTCGATGTGCTTTTGCAAACGTGAGTTTTGCTGCTCGTAGTCCGTGTTCGATTTTTTCAACTGTCTGAGTTCGGCATCTCGAGTTTTGTTATGATCAAGAAACTCTTCAGTGAATATTGGAATGTCGAAGTTTCCCATGTCTATTTCGTTGCTGTGAGATTCTTTAGGTACAGTTACGGCCTGTGAATGATTATTTTTAGATCAAGAATAATTATAGTACAATTCACCTTAAGCTCATCCTTATTCTCCTTTAGCTTCTTTTCGCTAACTTGCTTTGTGTAGCTTTTATAGGCCTGTGTTTGCTTGTACGCATTGTACTCTTTGGTGTAACGTTCTTTGTCAAGTACAGCGGCATCTAAATAAGATTGCTTTTTGTCAGCTGGAAGATTAGTCCACTCGCTTGCGAGGAGACGAGTGATTTCGGCAAAAGGCAGGTTGGGATTTGCCGCTCGGACACTTTCACGTCGATCATTTAAGTAACGAACATAACCTGAAGCATGGAAAGTGTAGAAGGAAAATTACACAAACATCTCATACCCGTCAGTGGCTGTCGAGGGGCCGTCACATCTTTGGGCTTCTTCCTTTTCTTAGGCTTGTTTGTTTTCAGCTTTTGTGAACTGTTGTTTTCAGAACTGTCTGGAGCTTTCTCGTCTTTTTCGTCGCTAGATCCGCTAACTTTGCTTTTACTACCATCGGTCGACGGCTTTTCCTCCGTAGTTTCCATTTAATTAAATTAAATTCTGTGCCCTTTTCGCCCAATTCTGGGAATCGCCAAAGTTTGTCAACGAATGTCAAAATAAGAAACAGTGATGCCACACTTCACTATTGTTATACGCACTTAATAAAACAATAATTACAATTTACAAATTTCATCCGCGATTGTTAACCATCGGGAAAAGGTTTTATACCCGCAAAAATTGGAAAAAATCCATAGGGCACCCATATTTTTTAAACAAGCCTCTAGATATGTTCGTGCTTGTGCTACCACAGACACATACGTCTTCATTGAATGCCGTAGGCGGTACTTGCACCACAGCCAAATACGTTAACCATTTTTTGTGGTTAACTTTTTGAAAATTGAAAGTGTTGCAATCGTTAAATACAGTCACAATAAAAAAGTGGTATTGAACTTGATAATTACAAAAGTATAAGAAAATTCAGGTAATTAAACGAAAAAATAATACGATTCTTTTTTAGCTTACATACAATGAAGAGCAAAACATCAATGCGTCAATCTGTCTCCAAGAGTGTAAGTACTAGGTCTACTCCAGCTTCTCCAAAAAAGAAATCAAAAAAACGACCCACCCAATTAATGCTTGTCGGTTCAAAGGCTTTCAAAGTTAGTGTTAAAATACTTCGAGAGATTAGAAATTTACAAACGGATACCTCACTGTTGCTTCCCCGTACCACCTTTATGAGAGTGATTCACGAAATAATAGGCAACTGTACGCCAGAAGCGATCCGTGTTCAAAAACTGGCCCTGGATGCTCTGCAGGAGGCTGCCGAGGCTTTTGTTACACAATATTTTGAGGACGCATATGCATGCTGTTTACATGCAAGAAGAAGTACTTTAATTCCGCGTGACATGGCACTTGTTGAATTTCTTCGTAGGCCGATTGGTGGATAACACTCCACTACTTCCAATATTTTCATATGTTGGACATTATATGAGTTGACCTCGTGTTATAAAAGACATATGTATTGTATATAGCCGTTTTAAATGTTTCTTGCAACAATGTCTAGAATAAGAGTATAGTATGTTGGCCCTATAAGAAAATATATTTTTACACAACAGACCTGATATTGTAGTACTAGTAAATCTAGTTAATGTTCATGCCATTTTCTATGGTTTGATATGCTGTGTATGTCCAAAAATATGACCAATATGATACAACAATCTCTTATGCTTATAGTCTTACATCAAATTACATGAGGTTAGATGTAGCTATTTGCACTTACATATAATCATAATAGCAGAAATAAATAGAATGAAGACTTGCAGTAAAATGTCTAATTTTGATTCGGCAAAAGAGAACCATTTTTATTTCAATTGATAATGATTTGTGATTAGGTATCAAACAATTGTACATCACATTTAAATGTTGAAAGTCTAAGAGATCTCAAGTAGGGTGAACGATAAAAGCTCAAGGACCTATGCCCAGGATGGAAGAAATCTCCTGTAAAACTGCTCTAGGATGCTTTTAACAGTTAAAAATCCTAAGCGCACTCGGATACACTATTATAGCTTGCAATGGGTTTAAGGTTCAGGAATGAAATACCATAAATTCAATGGAAATACCCTTAAAGACTCATAGGCCTCTCAAACACTTAAGTGCCTATCTGCAGATCTGCGAAGGACGTCAATGAAACGTTTTGGAGAGGATAACACACTAGGTGGCGAATTAAATGTTCTAACGATGCATAAACCTTCTAAAAGCTCTAAATTGATTCAAACTGAATAATAATCGATTCAGTCCGTCGTTGAACACCCTGTGCAGTCGTACCCACTGCGTTGGTAACATCCCACCAACATAAGATCCTTAAAATCCCTAACTCTATAACATTTTGATTTAAAACGAAAACCATATAATAAAATATATCCAATCATGAGGAATACACATATTATTGTCTATACCTTGTACAACGCGTTTAGGTAATGTTTCTCGTTTCCCTCTGCCTCAACAGGTAGCTCAGGTGTTGTTGCAAGAAAATCTTCGATTGAGAGAGTGCTGCCAACTAGGAGATAAATTGGCAATCACTTTTTTTTAATAAAACTTCTTTGCCCTAACATTATTGGTGTACATTGTGCGGTTAAATTTAGGTGTTTGTAAGGTAATTTTTTTTAATAAAGCAAATTACCTACTCTCACTCGTAATTATCCCGTAAAGATATCGGAAAGTTATTTGTATTTAACGACACGTGAATTTTAGGAATCTCCTAGTGCACGAATGGGCTTGTAAATTTTCGGTTTTTCATTAACAAAATTATGTAATTGGCAATTAATATCCGATGTGTCGAGGAGAATGATTTACCTATACAGCATTAGAGGCAACGACGTGCAGGTGAGTCTTAAGTTACAGTTCTCACTTTGTGACTTTGACAGTTAGGTTAGGAATTTGGAATACGAAGTGTTGTAGATTTTTGTCTTGGCAACTGCTTACTTTATAATCTATTTTCATTTTATTAATTTGTATTAAATTTCCAATGCCTCCGCGTACCTATCGATTTTATTTGGTTTTTGTTTTTCACGCAAATCTTCTCACAAGATTTAGCGATGGCCTCAAAAAGGGAGGTGGTTTGTGTTGAGCACATTTTCGTGAAGGTCAAGTTCGCATATTTATCGAATGTGCCTCGATGTGCATTGTCTGCATAGCAGTCGCTTTATTGATTATTTAATGCAGCCCAAAACGACATCGAAATTAAAAAAAAACTTTCGCCCATGATACGCTTAAAATTGAAATTCGCACGCCTTGCCTCCGCGTATTTTAATAATGTTTACAAACAATGACTTGACTTGGCCTACATTTACACCTATTCATTAGGTAGCTGTGCTGTACACAGTGGCGTGCGTAAATTGACACTCGTGACTCTCGCGGCTCGCCCTACCAAAGTGTGAGTACCTACTTGCTCATTGTTTGCTCCGAATTGGTGGGTACTTGTATTTACATAATTGTCTTAGAAATGCACGTTTGGTAACAAATTAGAGACAATTAACGTGACATTTTGTACTATTTCAACCATCATAAGATCACTTCAAGAAGTATGAACCGAGCTATGAACAAAACAAATGAAACTTTCTTGTATCAACTCTCTCCCACAAAAATAACGTATGTCGTTGCTCTAAATTTTTATGTACAAGAAAAATCACCATAATGTACAAGATTAGTTGAGAGATAGTAGTTTAGTCCACGGGTGGTTTGTGTCCTACAAAAATTTCAATTCGGCTGTCTGTTTGTCTAACTCGAGAACCAAAAGAGACAGCGATGTCAAACCTTCGCCAATAGATTTCTACAAGTTCAACATTATTGAATATGAGCCTGATAAAAAGTCTGGTTTCTGAATGCGAGCAGAGTGTCAAAAAATCCACGTACTGAAAATATCTTGTTTTGAGTTGTATCCCACTTACCTACCCCCAAAAAAAACCTGGTACTGGTTTTAGGTCGCTAATAAAACCTTAAAATATTTAGATTCTTTCAGTTTTTCGCTGACTAGACATGTGTGAAAGAAAAGCCCTAAATATAACAAACTTGTTAGGTAGGCGCCGTATTTTCGATCCGATTTCCTTTTACAACTTTGTAAAGTTATATGATTCTACACTTTTTGTATTTTATATCTTGATTCTTATATTCGGAAGTATCTTTTATGTTTTTTTAGGTTGTATTCCTTTCTACCAAGCATAGAGGTGTAACTTCGCGTGTAATATTATCAAGAAGTTGTCCGAGGAAAATGGACCATTCGAAAATGAACGAATGTAACTTCTTCAGGATTCATCCTCATTGTGCTCTAGTCTTTTTTGGAAAATCCAGTTTCGAAAAATCGGGTAATTGACTGATACCCGAGGTCCTGTATCGTCGTCGTCGTATCGACCGATGGCGATATATCGCCCCGAGTATCGGCCATATTTGTTATTATTGTGGAAATTGTTCATAATCATAAAGATATTCGTCTATTGCCAAGGTTACCTGTTACCTAGTTTGTGATACTTACATTAAATCGAGCATTAAATATTTTTGTTTTTTCGATTGATTTTGTATACAGGATTCCAAGCTACCACATACATGCACACAAAAGCGAAAGGGATTTTTTAAATCGCTTTTGTCTGACATTCATCCAAAATTTAAGGTTGAGGTTTGTGACACACTAAATATGTTTGTTTTGTCGATTCATTTCGTTTACGGGCTTGACGAGCTACCCCATAAATACACATAAAAGTGTAGCCTCCCCATCCTCAATTTTGAAATTAAACCATTGATTGATTGAATTTTCTGAACTGAACATTGCCAAAGAATTTAATGAGAAGTGCACCATTCTCGCTTATCTGCGCGTATGCATCCAAAAATCCTTTAATTAGCGGCTGTGTTTATGAAGCCGTTTCGCTTGCGCATGCTGTTACTTTTTTTGTCTTTATTTTTCTATTTGCAATCAGTATAATTTACATTACTGGCCTGCTGGAGGATTCGCGTAATTTCTCAAAGCCTATAAGGTTAACGACGTAGATGAACTTTTCAAAAAAAATTTCTTGCACCTCGAAATTGGCAGAACCTCTTCGAAGGACGAAGGTACATTGCAAGTGCATGGGGAGATGCGCACAAAAAAATTCCAACACATCTTAAACCCGAAAATTGTGGGCTGGATCTCGGGGGTGGACGATGGTCGATCAGCAATACACTTTTAAATGGTTCGGTGGTCAGCATTTACCTAACACCGTGAAACGTGTAGAGACTGAAGGTAAAATATGTTTTACAACAATCAATTTTGCATTTTCTGGGTGTCAAAAGGTTAAAAGGGCCATAAGGGCTTAAACAAAATTTTTGTAATTTTCTTCGCATCTTCCATCATTACAATTTTTTTGCGAGTTTCTTGTAAGCACCATGCAAATTGAATTTGGAACAAGGTACGACGCAAGGTAGGTACCTACATTAATCCTTTGGGAATTTGAACTTTTTCCGGTGCTCTCTAGAAATTGGCCGTGATCTTTCAGAACAGCATTTTCCGAAAACGGTTGAGTACAACGGAAGCTGATATTGAAACACTGAATTAAGAAACAGCTACATTTTACCTCGCATTTTACTAAAATATCAAGAAAATCCTCCGCGTCATTCTATGAATTACTTTCCATCAAGTCGAAAGGGAAAACTGATTTTAAGATTTAAGTGTTAATGTATTCGTTGATCGTCTTTTGCTGATAAGTACTGTTTTCAGTTGAGGTTTTCTGTGCAATTACCTAAGATTTATGAACAATAGGTTAGCAGGGCAAAATTAATTTTGATTTCTCTAAAAATTGTCAAAAACATTTTTTGGCCCGCCGTTTCTGAAATTTGACTTAAAGTTGGTATTTTTAAATGCAACACCCTGTATATCTTAACGTCATATTTTCCAAAATTTTGAAATCGCATGTTTCTACCGTTAGCCATTTTTTTATTGGTATCGATTGCCGTAGTTACCATTGATACAATAAACAAAACACTCACGATTCCATGGCCTACTATTTGAACACAGTAAAATAATGTTTGATTTTCACGTCTAACATTTAAAAAACATATATAGCTAGGTTATAATACATCAATGTACTCAGGAAAAAGAATGAACAAAGATGACGTTAAGATATGCAGGGTGTTAAAAGTTAAAAGATACCAACTTGGGTCAAATTTTCGAAATGGTGGTCCAACATTTTTTTAATACGCTACTGGATTCTACGTAAAAATATCTAAAATAGGCAGTTTCTATCTTATATGGGTAGTAAGATCCCAAAGAGTGAAACTGTTCGCTTTCACCCTGTATCTCAGAAACAAACGTAGCTAGATGGATTCTGTTTGGGCGAAAACCATCGCAGAGTATACTTTACTACCCTGGGAGGGCGCAAAAGGGGTTGCCAACAATGCGGGCATCGAACTATCCTAATTTAAAATTATTGAATGGCCAACAATTGTTATTTAATTCGGCATCTGGCTGGCAGTGAAGAATGAAGCAATGATCAAAAATACCTGAAGAAACGTTTAGAGTAGATATCTCCGAGGGTATCTCGGAGCTTGAGATATATTTCACCCGAGATTTCACCCCTGACACCCAATAAATTAAATTGCAGTGTATAAACTGTAAATCGAATTTATTTTGCAAGTCATAGATTCAATTTTTGTCATTCGAGCAATTTTCTGCTTTAAATACCGTGCAATAAGCAAAATTACACGACTAATTCGAAAATTCGCGCTTGTTTAGTGTGATGTAGGTATAACGAATTTCTGTGGAAGACAATTTGAGTAAAGTTCTGTTGATATTGAGAAAACATATTTCTGCCTATTCGCCCTTCACTTTCGTTGGTTTAGGGTAATTAAAATCTGAAAAATGATCGTACGTCAGAATATTCACGTACTCATGCCCATCAGAGGTTGGAATGGAAAATATTTGTGAAGTGCCCAGTCTTAGAATTCCGTGAATTTTTGTTTAATATAGGTCAAATGCTCGTAACCCACTGTAACATTTTTAATAAGAGTGCCTTTTAGCTTGAGGAGCGCTTACAGAGAAACTGTTAAATGCACTTGTTGCTCATTTCTCGAAAAGCAAACTTTTACAAAGAAAATGGAGAGTATCCCATATTCCACAGCACAATGTAGGTGCTATAATGCTGTTTTAGAGCAGATAAAACTTTTTGGGTCAATCGATTCACGGACGGCGTTGGTCGCGTTATGAATTCGCGGAAACGAAAGTGATACACGTTCAGGAAAGCCTCTTTTCTGGAAACGCTCGTAAATGTGTAATAATGAGGGGGAGGAACTTTGCTGTAGTTGGTGCACATTTTCCTTTGCCAAATGCGGTCCTTTTTTAATAATTAATTTGGCATTTAGAGAAGTACAAGAAAACGGATGCCTCAATTGTAATTTAAAACGCTCGATCACAAATCTAAATTAAAACGATTTCACACAATAGTTCTATATACACATTTTAAGTCTGTTTCCAGCACTGTTTTTGGTTTTTAAATCTAGAGAAAACTTGATTTTAATGAATTTGCAGAGCCAACTTCGTAACACTAACAATTACTCAAAATTACAAAAAAATTAGTTATCACTTTATTAAGTGTTTGAAATGACCACCAACTTCCATATAGGTTGGGTTGGATAAATTTTAGATTTCAAATGGACCTACAAGAAAAAAATCTAACGGCGACATATCTGACCATTCGATAGCACCTCTACGTCCAACCCATCTACATACCAGGGAACACATAAGGTCCAAGAACTGTCGTAACATTCTGTGCAAAATGAGGATGAGCCCCGTCTTGTTGGAATATCACCTCATCTTCTATGTAACGCTCATCTGGCACTTTTGATTTTCTCTCGCTTCTATC